TAACAGTTGTGAGGTAGAACCTCATTTGTTTTGGGTTTTCATTTCTTTCATGATTAGTGATGCCAAGTACCTTTCCAAATAACCATGGCCATTTATACATCTCCTTTGCAGAAATGTCTATTAAACTCTTTGGCCCATTTAAAAACTGCATTGCTTTTTTGCTATTGAGTTCAGAATATATTTTGAATATTATGTCTTTATYACAAGTATATTTGTGAATATTTTTCCCATTCATTAGGTGGCCTTTATCATTTTGTTAATCACTTTTGCAGCAATGTTTAATTTTACTTCCTATATCTTTATAAATTGCTCAATTACCACTCAATTCTCCGTAACATGCATTCCCCCCCCCCAGGTTATTTATCAATAATCCACCATGGGTCGTGGTGATCAATCCCTGTGCCCTCTCCTTAACCCAATTTTCTTACCTGTGATCTTCAATAAAACCATGACTAACATCACTTCCCTGGCTCTGTGTTATAGGCCCCGAATATCTGCCACCAGTTAATAAGAATAAAAAGGTAATTAATCCACTTAGGTACCATAACTGCTTCAAGAAGAAAAAAAATCCATTGTTCCTGTTTTTAGAAGCTCTAAGATTAACCTTTGTGGAAAAAGTAAATGTGTCTTTAAATGGAAAAGTAACATCCTCCCCTCTCATTTTCAATTCAGGGCCTGATTTTAATCTGCAGGCATTCTTTAAGCACCTACTATGGGTGTAGGTACTTAAAAATAATGAATTTTGAAGAATTACAGCAAAGTCTCATTTTTTGTGTGTGATGTGGATGGGAAATAGATTCTTGTAAGCAATTTTATAATCAATAAAGCATCTCTTTTTAATCTAAAATTTAAAGAAAAATAAAATGAACTTTCTTTCCTGGAAAATTTCTACATAGCAGTTACATTCTCATCTCCCTATCCAGAAATCATTTACTTAAGTAAATTCCCTTCCCGGTAACTCAGCCCTTGCTTCACTGTGTGGCAATTCCCAGGCTGCACCATGACCCTTGTCTCTCCCAGGGAGCATCCTGCCTTTTGCATCATGGATGCTTGTGGAAATCTTGAGCCTCTTCCCATCTATGCATTTTGCACCACTCTCAAAACACTCACCCACACACATACACACTTACCATGACACATGATCCAGTCATGGTTTCTGCACTTGATGAGCCCTGGCCTTTACCCCATGCTGTGAATTGCTACTCTTTATCTTCTAAATTCTTTTTTTCCCCCCCAAGTCCAAAACAGAGAGATTTATTTAGTCACTCTCTCATTCTTTGTTAATCACACATTYTTCTTTGTAGGGATTATGGGATGCATGACCAGGCAGCCTAAGGGGCCCCAATGGCTGATGTCCAGAGATTCCCCCAGGCCTTGGCTGGTATTGGTGATGTGGCTCTAAACCTGTGGTTCCCAGGCAYAGCTGGAGCCCATCCAGGTCTGAAGTGCATCCTGACCTTGGTCTAACTGAAATGGAAAAGTTTCCTTATCTTCTAAGTTCTGAGGGAAAGGTATGCTAGGTTACCCACAAATTTGGTTGCCAACAGTTCCTCCAAGCAAGAGGTGGATCCATTTGAACCTGACCAGCCTGTTGACTTKCTTTGAGCAACAGAACACTCCAGCRGAGATGCTCTGCCAGTTCTGGGGTGAGCCCTTAGCAGGTCTGGCTGTTTCACTTGAATTTTATGATCCTTCTTGCTGCACTGAGGCCTGGAAGATGAGAGGTTCTCTTACTCATGCAACCCCACTTAGGACTCTAGGTGAATATAAACCCAAGTCAAGTCAGCATATACCATATCAAAAAGGACCAGCTTAGTCCAATAAACCTGCTATTCATGAAAATAGTTGCTATAAGCCACTCATGTTTAAGTGGTTAGAAAATATTTAGAATCATATATAAAGAGGATAAATGAGATCTCAACATGTGTTATTCATACAGTGACCCATTCTTCCTGTAGATTAAATATGTCTCCTGTAGTGAGAGAATCTGATATCTATTTTAAATGGTCTCAAAACTTATTTCTCAYCTTATTTACAGCCATCTTCTCTATGATTGCCCACCCTAAACCCATTGTCCATCACAGAACAGGGACCTTCTCTTGGTCTTTTGGATGAGCCAGACTCTCCCTTATTTCACTTCAGGACCTTTGCATATAAGGTACTGTCCTTGCTTGGACTATGACACTCCTCCTCCTCCTGTCTCTCCCTTTAATTTAGTAAATGTCTACTCCTCCTTTCGCTCTCAGCATATGGGTTTCTTTTTCTGGCAAACCTTCCCCTGTTCCTCAGTCTAACATGCTAGTTCCTCCCCAGAATCCTATAAGACTCCATCCTTATTCACTGTGCTGTCCCTTTATCWGCCTCTTTGCACACTCACCAAGCTCTCTGCATACACAGGGCACACCATCTCCCCTCGCTGTAAGCATGGTCTGAGTTTAGTGGCACTTATGGCCAACATGGCGATCCTGGAGAGGGGGCTCCCTGCAGAAAGGGAAGACCCCCTCTCACAGGCCCTGCTTTTCATCTCCTCACATCACTGTTGGCCGGAACGTAGTGCCTCCTCCATAAAGACCTTCAGTTCCATCAAAGGCTGCTGGGTCATCAATCACACAGGGTTTATGCTAATGATCAGTTTTCCCTTGGCTTCCACAAAAAAGGAAGCATTTCTCTTGGGCGTATGTAGAGAAATCTCTTCATGTACACCACCCCTTCATTTTGTTTCCTCAYTCAAGTGCAAATGCTGGTGATAATTATTTGTCAAGCTTAAATCCCAGGGGTGACTCACTTTTAAATAGGAACTGACTTCTTTTACAGAATGATATCTAAACTCTGGTGATAGAATTTCAGTAGACATCCTGATGCTGGCCAGGATGTGAGGTTGGCAGAGTTATTGAATCCCCTAAAATCTTAACTGGTACRTGTCTGTCCAGTATCTTGGAGCCTCAGGTTCAGAAAGAAGCCCTAATGCTATATTTATGTTTCTGTGACTACTTTTCTTAGTGTTTTTAAATCTCCACTACTCAAGCATGTCTGTGTGTGTCTCTCTCTGATTGGAGTTGTCATTCTTTTTTATAATTTTTTTTTTGTTCTCAATGGACTTTTATTTTACTTGTTTATATGTGGTGCTGAGAATCGAACCCCGTGCCTCCCACATGCTAGGCAAGTGCTCTTCCACTGAGCCACAACCCCAGCCCCAAAGCTGGTATTCTTAAGTAGGCAATATAACTTTTTAAATGGATTTACTCTTTTCACTCCTGTTCTTTTGTAGTTGATTCTCAACATAGAGAAGCTACAGTAACATTTTTTTAACTGGACGCCATTTTTCTGCCCAAGTCTCCAATAGCCTATTTCTTTATGAGTAAAGGTGCCCCTGATTACCATGATGACCTGACTTACTACGCTCACCTCATCCACGGCTTTCCAGCCTCGTTGCCTTCCCTCATCCTCACCTATGCAGACTTCCTCCYACCTTTTGGATTTTCCAATGGTTCTCTTCTTGGCCAGCCACATCTCAACTCCTTTACCATTTCCACCTGGTTCAATTCTCACCTCTCTCAATCTCTTCTCAAAAAGCCCTGTTCTCAATGAGGTCACCCTTGACCATTCTGTTTAAAATAATACCCTTGCAACATTTTTGATATCCTATTACTGTTCTTCCTACTTTCTCTAGCTCTTCTTTAACCTACAACAAAATTGATGTGCTTATTAGGTTGATCATCTCAGGCTCCAGGTTGCAAGTAGTCTTAATGAAGACACATTGAGAATTTGGCTATGGCTTTACTATCGCATATGTATCACATAGATCATGTTGCTCAATAAATAATGAATAAATGAAATAAGTATTTTCATGTATGCTTTCACCAACTTTTTACCGTTTTGAGAGTTTATGAAACTCCTAAAACCAAACTCCATTAGTCTCAGCTAATGACAGAATAATTATTCTTGCATTATCCACTTCATGTCTACAATTGACATCCTGTTATTTCAAAAACCCATCTCTAAGTTTTGGGCTACTTGGTAAATCCTCTTAAAATCCTTGGACAATTTCCATCCTACCACTCATTCTTCCTACCTTTTATCCTTGATCCCTAAAATGACCTTTTTTGACAGCTTCATTTTGGCATCTAGRATTTGACAGTCTCCTCCATCCACAATGAGCAAGAATCCACTTCAGATATTAAATAACATCAAAGGAAAAAGACTATGGTGGCCTAGATAGTGCACATTTTTAAAAGCAAAGGCATTTGTAATAATGAAGAGTTAAAATATGCAGGGTGTGTTGGTGGAGTAGATAAGGCAGAGGTCTGTGACGGAAGTCAAGATGGTGGCCACCATTCTTTACCTAACAAATACACGTCCTTCATCAAATCAGTCCATATTTAAAAAAAAAAATTAAGTTTAAAGATTAAGAACTCTAGGGTGGAAAGAGCACAACACTGCTGATCAGGAAGCCTGCATTCCGTTCTCACTTCTACTCCTGGGGTCATGCAGCCTTCCCCTGTTCAAGTGGTCCTGGGGCTTCTTCCACCAGAGACACATAATTCACAATCCACCTGTCTCTGAAAAATAGGAGAATTCAGCTTGAATGTGGGAGCCAGGCTGGTGCTGCTGATGAAAGGAAGATCCCTGACATTCTAGCAGGAGGCCCCCGAATATACTGATTCCATTTGGCAGAAGCCAAGTAGTTGATGAAAACTCTTCTTTCAAGATGTGACACGTTCTGTGTGAGCTGTCAGAAGGGAAGTTTACAGAAGGACAAGTACTATCAAGGATCTAAGCCATCTGGAATTGCCCAATTCCCTGTAGGCACCATGTGACTTGGGAGTCTTTATGAGAGGGAAGAAGAGCAATGAATCCAGGTTCCGTGATCTGTTAACTGAAGTAATTAAATCATGGTGCTAAAAAGATTTAGATTAGAAATTTGATTTTCCCCACATTGTCAGGTGTAATGCTTTATACYGCATATATCTTAGAAAAATGACCATGCAAAATCTACTCACTCTTCTTCCACCACTCTGCTTTCCACCACGGGGTCTGCTGTTCAGGATGTAAATCTCAGATCCTCCATTGCTCAAACCCATGGGTGGTTCTTGAGCAGGCATGTAAAATGTGACCCAAAACAGAAAAAACAAAAATTATGGGAATTTTGGGTTGGAACCAAGGTGAATCCATCCTCTTACCCCCATATTCTAGATTTAAATGTCAAAGACGTAATTCCAGGAGGTAACCCACTTTTCTGACACCTCTGCCACAGAAAATTCACATGCACAGAGGTGAACTGAGAGGAGAATCCAGGTTTCCTGACTRCCATCCGGTGCCCTTTCTACCATGTGCTACTGAATCTTTAAATTATGGATTGCTCTTTTTAAAATATCAACTGAATACATGACTAAATAAATGGATAATGTGATAAAAGAACCAATCCAGAAGAAAAGAATATGAGTGATGGTTTATTATTTCATTATTGGAATCCTTAAGTCAGTCCTGCCTCTGGACTTTTTCGTTAGAGGAGTCAATAAATTCTGTTGGCTTTTWGATCCCTCTGACTTTCATTCTGAGCACTTGCAATGCAAAGATTCTTAATTGATACCTGGGCTTTTCTGAATGCAGAGTTTTCCCTTAAATCTTGCCCATGGCTTTGCGAACACACAACACTGAATATTAAAGAAGAAGCAGAGAAGAATCTGCACTCCACTTTCCCCCATCAGGGAGAAGGAGGGCAAAGTGACGGAGGCCCTGTCCACAATTCTCCAGTCTCCAGGGGATCAGAGGTGGCTGCAGACTCCCTGTGAGCAAGAGGCAGACAATGAGGCATGTCATTCCCTCTCAGGGTGGTGGTGAGAATGGCCTGAGATGCTCGTGAATGAGTGTTGCCAAGTCGGAAGCCTGTGGCACTCTCTGGCAGTAGGACTGCTCCCAGTCCATGCTCCAGTGACAGTGATTGAGAATCACACTGAGCAGTGAGCCACTAATCACCAACATTGAAAAAAATGTGTGTGTTTGGTGCTGGAGCAGGCGGGATGGAAAGGTCAAATGCTGATTCAAGTCAGTAGTGGTCATTAGAGATCAATAATTGGCACATTTGTAATACATGCTGCTATTTTACTAAAAAGTTCTACGGAAAAAAAAATGCATGACCTTTTACATTGATTTTTCTCCATCTAAAGAAGCTGTCCTTGACTATAAACATTACTGTACCATGATTCTACAAATAAAAGCACATAAACGGAAACATATACACTCTAAAGGCAAGTTTCTAAAATTCTTAAATCAATTTTTAAAGTTAATGAAGCTGACAAAATGACATTTGAAAAACACAGCTATTTGCCAGCACCCCAACCATGGACACCTCATCTACACAGTCACATATCTCCCCGTGTAAGTCACTAACCTCACAGTCTGAATGCCAGTATTTTAGAGGGGGAAAAAAACACTCCAAATCAGAGATTGACAGCTTAAAAATAGTCAGGATATTTTAAGTYAATTTCCTATTTAGTTCTGAATTTCCAGGGTTTTTTCCTCAAAAGATTTCAAGAAATAAGTGCTTTGGACCTTGTAAGTTAGCTACCTTCTAGCAGTGTATATTAAAAGAGAGAAAGGGAGAGGGAGAAGGAGTGAGGAAGGTGGAGACGGACAGAGCATAATTTTATTCCATGTTTAATCACTCACGATCTCTGTTGCAGAAACATTTCTTAACTGTCAGTTTTGTTTTGTTTTAACTTCTTGCAAGGTTAACCTTGGGTTCCATGGCAGATGCTGATGTTCTCCTGTGGAATCATGTCAGTGGAGAGATGATCAAATGTGGTGGGTAGACGCTGTGATGTGCTCTTTTAGACTCAATGGGCAAAGAAGAAGAAATGGACCCTGTGATGAAAAACAGGGACCAGGATGTGCCTCAGGAGATGGCACTAGGTTCCCTACAGGACAGGTCACACTGCCTGAATTTGGCTTGAAAGGGCTCCTATTTCCTCTTTGATTTCCCCTTACACACACATATTGATTACCAAGCTTTGGGCAATTTTTCAAGCATGCTAACACGTTGGCCTTATCACAGACTTGACCTTCATGCACCACCCAGATCTACACAGGATGGGATTCAATACTTGACTGTCACATGAATGAGATGGAGAGTCTTGAGCTGGCCCACGGTTTGTGGTTCACACTCTTATTTAAGAATGTCTCTGAGAAACTTTAGAAGTGGAGAAGGGGAGTCATTTTACCCCAGAAGAGAAAATAATGAAGACAAAGCAAACATACATGGAATCAAGAGGACTTAGCAGAGCAGGATCTAAAAATTATCACAAGCTTCACCACAGCTGGTTTTTGCCTTGATTGACTCATCATGAGAAGAGCAGTAGTGAGGGAGGAAAGGCAGGTTACAGAATGGTCATATCTATGTATTGTTTGATTAGACAACAGGCTAGAATGGAGTTACTGTCCAGACAAGCCCCYGGGGAGGACAAGCCCGTGGGGAGATGGGAGAAGAGCAGGCAGAGGCAGGAGCTCTTTGGAGGAAGCAATGCCTCACCAAATAACGGCACAGACTCTTTGTTCTAAGRTTCTTTCACCTCAAAGTAATGGCACACCTGCACCTTTCTGGTAGTGCTACAACAAATTACAGCACTTGACATGCACATTTGGAGCTATTTTTTTATTATCTTAAAGAGACTCATAAGATATGAAATCTTCTTAAACTGTTGACATTCAAGGCTAGGATATAAATATCTGAAATGATCTAGTGGCACATGAAAAGTTCCCCACTTAGAAATATTGTTGCAAAACTGGCCCTATCATTATTTGCCAGTGAGACTCTAGTAACTTCTCTGTCTTATGTCCTTATGTTAACACTGAGCAATTTGTCCACATGGACACACATGAAAATGTGTGATTAAATGCACGAAAATCAATGTACATATACATCTAATTATATATAAATATATTTAAGTATCATGTAACAGGTACTCAGAAAGCCTACAAAGCACCTTTTCTTTTCATGGAAAATTAGAACAGACAGATAATTCATTAGAGCAGCAGATTTATATTTTCCGTTTAGCAGAGAAAACCATGGCCCAAAGTAGTGGTGTCATTTTTCTACAAAATGGATATTTGCTCCCCTTCTTCTGGTGTAATTTTCCTGTGGTGAGTCCATCCCATTCCCAATATTACAGCATGAGGCTCCTGAGTGATCATCCACATTCTCAACTCTAAGGATGATCCAATAACCCAGGAATGGGGCCATACACAGAATATAGAACACCTGGAACAATGAAGAGGAGACTTCAGCCACAGACAACCATAACAACTACAGAGGTAAGAACTGAGGGATAACCACCCTGCCCAGGAGGGAAAAAAAAAAATTAGTGAATCCATCCCACTGGCTGCAGGGATGGGTTCAGAAATGGTAACAGGAGACAAGCCAGGACAATGTGCCCAGCTGAGACTCTTGGGGGAAAGAAAATTCCTTCCTCTTTGGAGGTTTATTGAACTGTGAGAGAGGGGATGCTAACATGATTACAGTTGTCACCATGTAAATTCTGAGAAGGATGCCAATACAGAGTTGGAAAATAAAAAGAGATGCAGAAACATAAGTTCCTTCTAATAGTGCKTGGTCTCCTGATCAATCGCACCTAAAGCCTGCCCATGGGAACCAATAATTCCCACTTCTTTTGCTGAATACAGTTTAACTTTGGTTTTTGTTATTTGCAACCAGTAGGTCCTGAGGAATAGGCAAGTTTACTTAGGAAAAGTGACAGCCAGCACTCAAAACCAACTGTGTCTTCTTTTGTAAAATTGAAGTATCATTTCCACCACATCAGTAGTTCTCACTTGAGGGAATGCAGAAGACTTAGGTGATGGAATAGTTTGCAGGTCATTTTAAAACATATAGATTAATACATGTGAAAGTCCCTGTCCCCAGGGAAACCAAAATGTAAGGGAAGCTGGATATTGGAGGTAAAAAGGGTAAAACAAGAGAACAGAAGCAAATTTATTTTGAGAAAGCTCCATTAAGTGATTGATCTCTCTAGCTCTGAAACAACTCTAAGTCATGTGCTGCTTTGCTACATTAAGTGCCAAGGGCACAATTACGATGCAGAAGTGAGGCTGCAGTTGAAAGCACTGCCTTCCACTTTACAAAGCAAATAGCTGCCTGCTCAGTGGCCACCAGTGAGCAAGGCAGTGGAGACATTTCCCTCTTCAAGGAAATGATTGACTTCTCTGGGTCCCTGGAGTGAAATTAATTTTTAAAATTGCAGGAACTAAGTGCACAACAATCATACTTTTGAAGAGGGAAATGCACCCATGACTGCTGGAGGGCCACTTTGTCTTCTTACCRGCAGAAATGACAACATCTTCACAGACAGAGAACAAGCAAAGTGCTGGGCCTGTCAGCTCTGCACAAACTTCATGTTCCTTGGATGTTTACATAATTTTGCATGCATTGTAATGCTGCAGCTATCTTGTCTATAACTTTCAACACAAAGGAGGGAGCAAAAAATAGTTTTAAATATTACCTACTATGAAAACCATGGTTACAAATAAGGCATTAGATTGAGGGGGCCAAAGCAAACCTCCATGCWGGTCTGTGCCTAAAGCAAGGTGGCAAACAGGGTGATCCTGAGGACTTAGTAGGGCCTGTGAAGAACACCAAACAGCTATGAAGCCCTTCTAGATCCAATGGGAAATTATGCCATGATTGATTAGTGATGTCTGTCAGGGTCACAGAAATGGACAGTGGTAGTTTAAGGTATAYTTCTTTATCCTTTCTGTGCTAAACCAACCACATCTAAGAAAGTTGTTCTATTTTTCAACTTGTACACTCCTTCATAAGTGCTCTCARATAATTATTTTGGAGTTTGGCCATTTTTTAAAGCAACTACCTGGTTTATTTTATAACATAACAATGTARTGACTGTTATCTGTCAACAATGGACTTTCTCTCCCCATTTTTCACCTAAAAATAAGTAAATGGGATTGATGGCAAGTTATGACTTTTACCTTTAGGGAGAAACATTATTTTATTCTGAGAAAAGCTACTTCATAGAGAGGTAAAATTCTTCAGACCAATCTTGCTTCTTCCAATTGTGATCC